ACCTAACCAAACTAAGAAAGGGAACACAAGAATGTCAAAAGCTCTCTCGCTCGTCTCTATCTTGCAAGCCTAAAAGCCTGCCTTTTTCATGTTTGCTTTCTCGGTTATTCAACAGCATCAAACTCTCCTCCCCTTTTTTTTGGGGGGAAAAAATCTTGATTTGATTTTAAAAAAACACTAAAATATCCTCAAAATGTTAAAAGATAAATTATAGTGGCTGAATTTTAAAATCCCAAATCTGACTTCTTGTACTATTTAAAAATTTTAAAATATTATAAATGATAACATTGCCCTTACTCCTAATGATTACTTTCGCATAGTTATTGACTAAATTATTAACAACTTTTGTTTTCAAAGTTTCAGTAACTATTTTTGTATAACTATTGACTATACAAGAGTAGTAAATAATTAAAGAAAAAGTAGTCATTAGATCTCCAATAATACTTAATGTATTATTTTAATTTTTGAAATAAAAGTAGTCAATAGCGATACTAGAATAGTTAATAACTAAACAATAGTAGTTATCAGAGTTTTAAAAATAAATGTAGTCAATAGATAAAAATAGTAGTCAATACATAAGAAATGATAGTTAACAGAACTCTAGCGATCAGTCACTGGAGTTCCAGTAACATCTCGTTGGAGCTTTAGTGGTAGGCTATCGGTAGGGTTGCTGGCATAGGAGCTCTAGCGGTGGAAAACTAACTAAGGATGTTGAAGTGGCAATATTAAAAAAAAATATATTGAAAGGTATTTATGTAATTTTGCAAGATTTAAAACTTTCAAAATAGTATTAGAGATTTGAATTGAGATTTTGAAATTCACTTATACTGATTTGTTCTTTAACAATTTTTAGGGTATTTTATTGTCTTTTTCCCTTTGATTTAAACTATCTTTGCCCCTTTTTGATATTAAAAAATCATGGTTATTTAAAAAAACTTAAATGTAACATGTCATATTTATTATTTTTTAATATTTAAAATTTTAATTTTGTCATTTTTTATAAACAAATTTTACAGTGTTACGATTTAAAAGACTAAAAAACACTTTATAAAATTAAAAGATTAAAATAAAATTTTATATAAAATTAGAGGATCGTATACGTATTTTTGTCAGTACGAAGCCCAGTTTGATAATATATCCCTTATAAACTTATCGTAGAAAAAACTAGCAAAAGTCTTTTATTAAAAATTTTATTAATAAGAATAATCTAATAAATCTTTATAAACAAAAAGTATCTATACAAACAGAGTACCAAAACTTCAATTTAATTCATTCTCTCACCAACAAAATTTTTAATGGGTTTTTTCTTTTTTATATTCCTTTTGTCATATCCTTTTATATCTAAAGAAGAGCCTACCCTACTAACAAGTTGTTGGCTGAGATGGTAGCAGCCTCATCTCCATAAAGAGAAGAATACAAATTCAAATTTCAAAAACTATATTTATTGAGAGAACTATTCAGGCTTGAAAGGGATTAATCTTAAATCCAATGTGACTTAAGAATACTCTTATTTCACTTGAAAAAAAAAAAAGGAGCCCAGAAGAGTCAATTTCTCCCAAAATACAACCAGAACATATGTAGGAGCGTACATAATATTTATATGCAACCAATACATATATAGTATAGGATTAGCATGATTTTATATAAAATAGAATGAATTATAACTTTTAATTCATTATTTGTAATTGGGTATAGATATGATTATTGATTTAATTTTTATATAACTAACATAATAATTAATTATCAATAATACGTTATATAATTTGAAATATTATTATCCATAAACCACGAGAAATTTAAATTTTTAAATATTTAAATGGCGCACCACCGGTTCATATTAAGAATAATACTTATAACGCAAACAATACACACACGTATAACGTTTTGTATAAGATAGAATGAATGACCACTTTCAATTTATGAGAACTTGTAGATATAATTATTAATTTAATTTTTACATGGTTAACGCATCTAATGATTAACTTAGTCTTTTATTTTGTCTGATTTCAAATTCAGACAGAATGTACGCTCCTCAGTCCTCGAACTATTTATATGGTTGGGAATTTTCAATCACTTGTTGCCTGAACAAGAACCTCACATCAATTTGACCACGCCATGCACACGAGCCTCAAAATTTGAAACCAAAACCCCCATATGCCGCAAGAGCAGTTGTTTGAAAATTCAAACATAGTCTACTAAAAAAAAAAGTCAAACACAGACACAATATTCAATATACTCTTTTAATTTTAAATGTAAAACTCATTTTATAGTATAAATTATATGATAAAATAAACATTACATTTAGGATTGGAGAAGTATAATGGCCAAATCAAATACTTTCTGGTTTGGGATGAAGGCAGCTGAATACAGAAATTGAAAAAATTAATTAACCTGAGTTATTTATAAAAAAATGTGTTAATTTTTTAAATAACCCTTGGGTTAATACAAATTTTAGTCCCTCAAATTTGGACCCAATTTGGTATTGGTCCTTGAAATTTAAAACGTGTAGTATTGGTCCCTGAAATTATGTTCGTTTCAGACCGTTGGTCCCTGGCATCTTAGCACCGTTAAATTCTACTGACGTGGCGTTAACACCGTTAAACTGATGAGTTGGCATATGACCTGGACATGATATTGATCCCTCAAATTTGGGACCATTTTGGTATTGGTCCCTGAAATTTAAAACTGATGGTATTGGTCCCTCAAATTATATCTGTTTCTAGCATTTGGTCCCTGATAGCTTTAGGCCCTCCTCTTTTTATCTGTTCCTGTAGAACCCTCTACTTTGCTGTCAGCGGCTCTGGTGGCTTGCTGGTTGTGCCTGCCTTTTTGTTGGAGTTGCTAGTGAGGTTCTTGTTGCTTTTTCTCAAGCTTCTTACTCTGGTAATGGGCTTCTCTTTTTTCTTGGGAGGTTCATCATCGTCTGTACTAGAAGAAGATGACTTCAATGGGAGTGGTTTTGTATCTGAAGCCGGCTTCTTCTTCTCATGAACTGTTAAGTCACCTTTTTGCCCAAAGGTAGCAGATGAGGTAGAAGGTTTAGCTGAGAATGCAATGCGTTTCCTCCACAATAATATAAGAGCAGAAACTCTATGTTTTGACAAAAGTGAATCCCAGATTGCATAGATTCTCTTTGACCATAGCCTTCCATTGCTCATGCCACATCATCAAGTTTTAGTTGCCAAGTCAAATGCCATATCATAGGTTAACAAAGTTAGAGCCAACTCAGACAAATTTGATGGCGTAAAGCTATCAAGAACCAACGGCCAGAAACAGATATAATTTGAGGGACTAATACCATCTATTTTAAATTTCAGGGACCAATACCAAAATGGCCTCAAATTTGAGGGACCAATACCATGTCCAGGTCATATGCCACATATATGCCAACTCATCGGTTAATAGTGTTAACGCCACGTCAGCAAAATTTAACGGTGCCAAGATGTCAGGGACTAACGGTCTGAAACGGATATAATTTCATGGACCAATACCTCACGTTTTAAATTTCAGGGACCAATACCAAATTGGGTCCAAATTTGAGGGACCAAAATTTGTATTAACCCATAACCCTTTAATTATTTATATTAGAATACTACTAATTCATGGATATAAACTTCTCTTTAATATATGTAATAACAAGAATACTTTAAAAATTTTTGAATATTAGAAGCAAAATATTAAACATACTCCTCCTATTTTAAATGTAAAACTCATCTTATAATATAGATTACACTATAAAATAAGTTTTACATTTAGAATTGGAGGAGTATAATGGTCAAATCAAATAATTTTTGGTTTGGGATGAGGGCAGCTGAATACAGAAATTAAAAAAATAAATTAACTTGAGTTATTTATAAAAAAAATGTGTTAATTTTTTAAATAAGCCTTTAATTATTTATATTAGAATACTACTAATTCATGGATATAAACTTCCCTTTAATATATCTAATAACAAGAAGAGTTTAAAAAATCATTAATATTAGAAATAAAACAGACTAAGATTCTTATTTATAAGTTAAATAATTTTTTCAATTAGTGATTGTATTTAAGATTGGAAAAAAAATAATATTTACTTTGGAGTTCTCAAATTCGCAAAAAAGTCTTTATCTCTCAGAAGAAATTAACTTATGAGAGACACTTCAAATGTGACATTCATTTTAATTGGAAGAAACTAATAAAACCTTACTGAAATGATACGTGGATCCGAGTAATAGGATACGTTGATTTTTTTTGTGAAATCGTCATATACGCTACATGGAAAGTGGTATGGTATATGGTTGGTCTTGGATATTCTTATCCCGTTTTATACTTGCGATGTGAACAGGGAAAAACCTAAGAATTATTTTTAAGGTTTCAGTCTTTTAACTTTTGGCAATATCTCATGAATAATTTAATTTATTAGTGTGTATTGTATATTCCCTTTGATTCTAAATATAAAGTTTAGTTCATAGTGTAATTTACACTATAAATTAAGTTTTATATTTTATGACTGGAGATAATATACAGTACCATACTAAGCTGTAAAAACTCTTTTAATCTAATTTTTTTCATCCAATCTAAACTATCATAAATAGGTAATGAATCATATTTACTCATGTTTTTAGAGTAAATTATAAAGATCAATAAAACTCATTTAGTATTTTTAGAATCATTTTTGTCATCCAAATTCACGCACTCATCATATCCTCAAAGGTTGACTTAATTAAGAGGGTGCGTAATGTTAATTGAGCCAAATGGCTCCTACTAAACTAAAATTAAAATGAGTATTAAATCAGTATTTTCTCCAAATTATTTTTATAATACAAAACATCAAATCACACTCGGAAAATGGAAGCGGAAGGAGCATATATTGTTACCGTTCAGATAAATTAGAGGAAGAAGAGGGAAGTGGAGGGGTGCGCGCGTCTCTCTCTATATATAAAGGCAGAACGCAACAAACAATGAATATTGAGCCTCGCGGGAAATCACTAGAAATCACGCACTACCATCAACTCTATACTCTCATCAATTTTACATACTAGCTAGATACTGCTCTTCTGACTCCTTTTTCTGCAGTTGAAAATCAAACTGCGCATTACACATCTCACCAAAACCAAAAACTACTGTTAATTTCGAGTTATATAGGTGGTTGCTGCATGATGAACAGCCCAACAGATCATCAAGAGAAGGGGCAGTTAGTGGCGAAGAGAAGAAAATACACCAACACAGAAGCTTCCAGAGCTCCAAGGCGACGATTCTGCAGCAGCAGCAACAAGAAGAATGAAGGAGGAGGGGTGTCGACGACGTTGAAGTTGTACGAAGATCCATGGAAGATCAAGAAGACCCTGACGGAGAGCGACCTGGGAATCTCGAGCCGTCTGCTGCTGGCCACAGATTTGGTGAAGAGCCAGATCCTTCCTATGCTCGGGCTCGATCATGCACGAGCCGCCGACTCCGACGAAGGCACCTCCGTTAGTGTTTGGGACTTGGATTCCAAATCCATGCACCACCTCGTCCTCAAGCGGTGGCCTTCCTCGAAGAGCTATGTTTTCATTGGCAAGTGGAACCAGGATTTCGTCAGGAGGAGGGAGCTCAAGAAAGGGGACGAGATTGGGTTTCAGTGGGATCCTTATAACTCCCTTTTCAACTTCTGCGTTCTTAAACGGGCTTAAAATGAATTAATCTGCGCCATATACACAAGTACTATCAGTTTCTGTGACTCTGTTCAATTCCCCAATGTTACGTCTACGTTACGTACAATAATAGTACTGATAGATGTTGCAATAAGTTGATGCTCAGATCTGTACCGTGTAATTCAGAAATAATTACTACCTTCAACTCTTAATATAAGATTTTGTTTGATTTTTATTTTGATCTTAAATATAAGATCTCAATCCAATTTATTTCTCATATTTATGTATTTTTTTTAAGGTAATCCTTCTAATAATAATAGTTTTAGCCAATACACTTGATTAGTAAGGATATTTTAGGAAAGATAATATCTATTTATTACAAATAACTAACTTAACTTATTTTTTTAATATATTTAAATTAGTTAACTAGCTTTTATATTTAGAACATGAGGTAGAATAATATAAGTTAATAGCGTAGTTTTTTATTTGATGATCTTGCTGGCTAGAGGGGTTTTGAACAACGATCGACCCTAGCTAGCTAGATGATGAAATCTTTGTCAGGCAAGACCATTGGCTCGTCGAGAATAGAATCTTGATATAGACTCAGTGGTTAACAGCCGAAAGGTCGCAGGCGAAACCGGTAGAATTTCGAAATAGACGTGTAAATAAATTACGTAAAATTAAGTATGGTCTCACTGCTGTTTAATTAATTTCTCAAAGAGGATATGACAAACCAAGTGGTGGAGATAGAGGGCTGCAGCGGCTGATGGCAATTCTTGGAACAGTAAACTTTGAGTTTGCTAGAGTCTTCACATTTGAATTGACCAAAATCGAAGGAAATGGGAAGTTACATTTTAAGACTCTTACCATTGTTTTTATCTAAACCAAGTCTTCCCTTTTTTTTTTCCTACTTATGTAGTTCAAATATGCCCTAAGTTATTTGAGTACAGTAGTCATTTTGGACACACCCACCCACCATCTTTTCGTCTAGGATTGAAATTCATTGTCGTACCCCGTTATTTGCCCGATCTGTTTCTGTAGTTAGTGAACTTAGCTGATCAGTTCATATATCATCGTTATTCAGTTATCCTTATATTCTTCGGTAAGTCTGCAAATAATGAAAATATGCATGGCAAAAAGAAATATATCGAATGATTTAGAAGATGTAGGGTGCCCGTTGTAAACGTAAAGTATTCATCAACGATGTGCCATGTGTCCATTTGATTTATTTGTTTATATTTGTTTTTATATATATATATATATATATTACTTTTATTTTGGCGTTAAGATTTTGCTAACATAGTCTCAAGCCCTCATGAAGAAAAAGAAGAGCGATCGGCAGCCAAGAGGAAAGAGACGAGAGAGAAAAGAGGATTAGATAAGAATTTTTTTCACGGTGAAAAGTTTGACATATTGCATTGTTCTGATGGTCATAACATCTACGAATCAAAAAATTGAACCCCCTTTGTGAACGGAGATACGCTAAGCAAGGGCAGAAGCCAATGACAAAGAAGAAGTTGATACGAAAAGTAAGAAGCAAATATTGAGGCTCACATAAACCTGTCACCATTTTCCCTTCTCCTCTCAATATCATCTGGGTTGATGTATATTTCAGTGGCAAGCATTTGAACAAAGGTCACAGTAACCCAAGAATCCAAAGTAGGAAGCTTTATGAGTGGAGATTTGTGATCGAGGAGAAGGGCCAATGGATAGACAGAAATAGATAACCCACGGCAGTGAATATGCATTATTTGTGAATCAAACCAAAAGGGTATTACGAGTAGTCCATTATATGGCTCTCCATGAAATTGAAATCCAGTTGTTGCATTCTGTGGTTCAGTTTGGTCAAAACTTATGAGTTACCTACGGTGGGATGTGGGAATGAGAGAATCCAAATTGGTTTAATTATCTGTACATCGCATCAACCTTAGCTTGTTTGTGGAAATTTATGTTGAATTACTTTCAACTTGAAGGTTGTTCTTTTAGTCTAAGGTAATTTTGACATACAAGTGAATATGTGTGTGTGTGTCAATAACTTGATATAAATAGTGACAAATTTTTATGATTTGGCCGGTTCTAAATAAATTGGTCAAATTAAAGGTATATTGGGGGATTATGGGACACATGCATCTCTTGAATAATGTGAATCATATAAAGCAATAGTAGTGGATAAGATAAAATGTGCCAATTAAATTAAAAGGGATGACACTTGAAGCCAGAATTACTTCTCTCCTACCAGAAATGGGAATTTTAAAGACGGGAGGGTATCAGGGAAATGAAGATGGAATATATGAGAGTATGGGTTTCCTCACTTTTGACACGTGTTGAGATACCTAAAGTGAAGAGACGAGGAAGGGATAAAATTATAGCTCAATTTTTTTCTGGAGCCTTCTCTTTCTCCTGTGGCTGTCACACCAATAAAATTCCCACTCTTCTTTTCCATCTGTTCAGATCATCAGATTCTCTTCCCTCCACTTTCTGCCTTTTCCTATTGGAATTTCCACCATGTATTAAAAGGGAAGAAAAACGTATAATTATTTATCTTGCAAAATGGCCTAATAATGAGTCTGTTTGGAATCACGATTAAAAATGTTTATAAACACATTTTATGTAAGTTGAGACAAGACTCTTCTTTATATTTATCTTGTATTACATAAATTATGATTGAAAAGCTATTTATAGACTATTTCAAATGGGCTTAATAATAGGAAGTTTTCCTTACCTTGCTAGCCACCTTTATCTTAAAAAAACTTTCTATCATCAATCCATTAAAAGAATTTCACCAAAAACCCCTTCACTCATCCTCGAATTGAAACCTGGTTTTGAGCTGTTGTAAACAAGACTGATCATTATTGTTTGAAAAAATATTACAAACTTTTATATTGGTTTGTGATACAATCTACGTAGAATGATAATTATTTTCTACCAAAATATTAATTAAAGAGCCTTTTGATCTATGTTAAAGGTTCTTTTTACACCAGTAAAACTTTGAGCGGCGAACTATACATTAAAGTTTTAAGAACTTCAGAACAAGAAAAAGGAAAAAATTTATAAATGTGCATGTATATCCACACCTATCATCACTTGAGGAAGAGAATATATAGAATTGATTGAACATGATTCTCCCATTCAATTTGCTGAGAGCTCAGTTTACTCCGCATCAAACCAAATTCTTAAAGTAACATGGAAAGATGTGCATACGTGGAAAGTTCAAGCCAGCCTAGCCACATTTTTATCAACTCCCAAAAAAAAAAAAGAGGATCATCCTCTTCAACGACTGAACATGCACGCATTTCCATACATTCGCACACTATAATTTCTCTCATTTACCCAAAAAAATTCCCCATCTGTCTAGCTCCTTTACTTAATGTTGAATTTCTGGATCAAATCAATCATTTTGCTAACGAAATATATGGAATAATATGTTTTCGTTTTGACAAACAAATAAGGAGATAACAATACAGTCTTCAATTTTGGATTAGCTTAAAATTAAAGAGGGTTGGACCAATTATGTGGGATTCAATTCGCCATCACTCCATACTTCAGTGATATTTTTGTCATCATTCGGACAATTTATCAAGTACAATATCCATAATTCAAGGATATCTTTTTCATTAGGACAATGTACCAAGTAACTAACGAGGATTGAGTCTAATAGAAGAAATTAGTTTCTTACAACATGGTGAATTAAGATTCAAAAATTTGTTAGGAGAGATGTCCATGTTTAGCACCTGAGTGCTTCAAATAGGATTGTCTTTAATAGGAGGACACTTATGCGTAACAAAAAATAAAGACAATGTACCAAGAAGAATATAATCTGAAATTGCTACCTAGAAGTTATAGTCAAAGAGCTTACATATTTATCCATAAAGGGAGATTTAAGATGAGTTGATGAGGGATTAACGAGTGAATTGAGGAAATAAGAAATCTCGAGAAGAGCGTGGTCCAAGGGGGATATAGACAAAGGGGGGCACAAGCCAATGACAATGGAGAAACTGATGCTTATCAAATTAAATTGACAAAAGATGCAAAGGGAGGGTTGAAGGGGGACTAGGATGCCAAAATGCTCTTAACCATAACTATGGAATCCTCTCTCATTATTCTGGGGGGTTCCTTTTATCTCTATACTACCCTATAAAGCTAAAAGCGCACCTCTTGCTTTTTCCTAAAGATCAACCCCTCCCGGATATGTCATGCCAACCTCCTTTCTCATCTTCTCTACTCTTCAATTCCTTGGTCTCTCTACACCACCCATTCCCGTTAAGATCAGTTTATTTTCTACGTACGATTTCCGCGGTTTATCTTCTCTTTCTCTCTATAAACTCATCTGGTCTTATTTATAAGTTACTTCCAACATATTTTACACAGATCAAGAAAAACCTTAAACTTCATTAACTCTCATTTAAAATTTAACAACTTTTCAATATTATCCCTATTTAATATGTATTATATTTTATGTAAATAAAGTCAGCATAATAATAAATGAAGGTGAAATTATATATCCATATAAAAAGTTTCTCTCAGTGCCTATAAATAGGACTAAAAAAGTCTTTTCTTTTTACCTTATAAATAGGACTAGAGGAATATATATATCATTCCGTACTCACCAAGGATATTATTTAGTATCATACTCAACTTTCTATCTTATTTTATTCCTCCATTTTTGTTGTTGTTGTTGTTTCCCATTCTACATTCCGTTTGCAATTTCTCTTTTAGGTTCACATTTATCTATGGGCATTGTCTATAGGCTTTAATGTGCATCTTTTATAAAGAAACTCTTGAATATATTTACATCAAGGAGGTGTGGAAAATGATTTCTCTTCTAATATGAAGTTGCAGCTGCAGTGGAAGCACAATGGAGAGAAACTTCACAGAAATTAAGTTTATGAGCAAATTTTAAATGCTAACGTCTAGTGATGAGCTTGAAAATGGGAGGAAAAAATAATGGGTCAGGAATTTGCAATCCGGCCAGCCCCATTCTTCGACTCGTAATTTTTTGTGTTATATATATATATATATATATATATATATATATTGTCTCTATTAAGCTTGATTTTATTCAATATGGGGTTTTCAGCATCAACTCAAGTCTATTGGACAACTTAACAAATCTGCCTCTCAAGCATGATTTTTACTCTATCATGCTACAAATACACAGTCTCTGCTTCCGCAGGCCGACTCCATTTTCGGCTTCAAATGTTTACGCAATGATGAGCTTTCAGTGATGTTTTTTTTTTTTTTTTAACATAGGTCCTGATTGAAATTAGGTTCTGATGTCACCTGTTGAGAATTGCATTAGCAAGAAATCTGAGAAAAGAATTGAAGAATTAGAAATTATAAAAAAGTGAAATAAGAGAAAATAATAGATGGCACACTTTAATGTCAGAAAATTGTCGCTATGAAGGAAAAAGTAAAATCACGAACAATGAATGAGAAATTTCACTATGAAAAATAGAATTTACAATGGCCATATCACATTGGATAAAGTTGGGTTTAATAATAGATCTCTAATAAAATGGAATAATATGTAAACTTGAGCTTTAAGGTTTTAAGTGTAATGTCCTCTCCTCCTGTTTATGAATTTCGCTCCTCGTTCTTAATAACTGGTAGGAGGGTCAAATTTTGCTTGATCCTCATATAAACACACGTTTGAAGCTCACATGCAACTGTACACGTTTGAAGTTAGAAAATGGCCCTGATCTTTGTTTTGCTTAGTAACTCGGTGTTAGTAATGCGGGGTGCTAATAAACTCCTATATAAGGAGAAGATTGTTAGGATGCGTAAGTATGTGAGATATCTAACTTTATCTGGTATGAGACTGCTCACATCAACTTAAATTCATTCACACGTAAACTAACCTAACAATTACCTAACAAATTCACCCGTCTAGCTAATTAAAACTCGGTAAAAAAAAGCTTATAAGTACTCCTTAATATATTGTAGCTGGGTTTTACATAGAAATTAGAAACTAGATCACATTCAATTAGATAAGCTGCCGCGGCTGAGATGTTCAATGGAGAGGCACGGCTTCATCTGAGGTTAAGTCTTGTCTCTTAACAAATCTGCCCTTAACTCTGGGTCGTTTCTCAGCGTAGGCTTTCCTGTAAGCATATCTGATTCTCTTCTCGAACTTTCTAGATTTCTTCTTCTCTCTGTATTTCTCCACTCCAGCTTTCCTGTTCATATGTCCAAAGTGGATTTGCATTGGAACTGAAGCACTTGGAAATGTCTCTGTTCCTTTGGGAAATCTGAACCCTGGCATGTCACACATCGTCCCACTTTGCAGCATTTGAGAACCCATACATGGAACAGCTACCTGATTTTCATTAAACCCAAACTTTAAGGGGGCAAAAAGAAAAGAACACGAGGATTAGTCATGGAACAAAACATGATGCGATCAATATCTCGTTCAAGTAAAAAACAAAGGCAGACATGTATTTCATCAAGGATCATGCTAAAAAATGGAAACCGCCGCATCAGGAACTTGAGTTTTGAAATTTTGCTAACTTCTGAAGGGGAAGATTCAAGTGCTTTTTTCTCTGGTAAAAAGAATTCAAGGTCTTCTAAGTACGGCCCACACAAACATTATAGAAAGCAGAACCAAACAAATGTACAGTCAACTTAAAATATAATCCCCTTAAATACCATGCCGTGTAAAGCACCAAAGGTCATTCGTGAAAACTCACCTTCTGAAGGTAGCATTTACAGGATGATTAATAATTCTCAAATTTAAGCTGAGCCACACAACGCTTTGGATGCATTATGCTCAGCAGAGAAGAGACATATTAGTCTCTAATCATATAAGCATGCTTCATAGTGAAAAAAGCTATCTCTGCTGTAATCAATCTAGATGCCGCCCACAAAACAAAAGTGAGAAGAATTTACACAACACAGTAATCAATCATCCTAGAACAACCCAAAAACATGCAGAAAATACACAGTGAACGCAGTTTCATACTGATGATCATCGAAATTTATAGTGATACTAATACGAATAATCATCTTACGCTCCGGCAATTCGAGGCGTAATTAGTGAAAGCCACTCTTGATGGTTTCTTCTCCACGTTGAAGTAAATATTTTGCTGGTGTTGTGGCTGCAATTGCTTAGGCTGAGCTGCAACCGATTGAACTGGCACAACACTGTCACTTTCTTTCATCTCTTCAGAGAAGCTATAAGCTTGCTTCCCCTGATCACGATCTTCCTGGAAATTTTTGAACTTTGTGGATGAATCACTCTCTTCAACAAGCCCCACGTAAGCATGGTGATCATCCTCTGCTACTCCGAACATAAAACCATCATCAACCTGGCTGTCTATAGTATCAGCAGAATCAAGCAGTAACCACGAATCAGCTTCTTGCTCGTCCACTTCCTTGCTACTTATGTTGTTTTTGACGACAACCTCGTAATTAGGCTGTTCATCGGGAGTTGCCACGTTGTCGTTGAGTATATGAGACAAGGGAGACACAGGGACCCTATTGTGTCGGCTAGCAATTGGATTGGCAGAGTGAATTTCAAAGTCACAGTCGACACACAGCGAAGCATCATCGGCCTTGCAGATGAAAGCCACCGGAGCGTTCTCACACGATCCGCAAAGTTTCACACGATTGTGGCACCAACAAGGAGACCCCATCGCGTGAATTTGTCCATCACAGGAAGAACAGAGGTACGCTGAATCGTTGTGACAGTAAAGCGTGGAAGCAGACAACCGGCAAGAATCACAGAGCCGTACCCAGTTACTGGGATGGCCACCGCCGTAGTCCATTTTCATCATTCTAAGCTAAAGCTGATTTTTTGGGGCAATGGGTATTTTTTTTTCCTGGTTCATGTATGAAGTGAGCAAGCAAGCTAGTGTAATATAGGTGAAAAAGATAGAGAAGAGAACCCGAAAAGCGCAAAGCGTTCGAGTTTTTTTGTGGTTGAGGGAGATTGATCTATGATCTTGTGGTTAGCTGTACTCTGGTGAGTGGGTGCGTGTTCCTCGCTTTTTGCTTTCGAATCTTTTGCAGCACACGGGGGGATTCAGTATTCATATTGTCAATCATGGTTTTCCACGACGATGATTCTTAATAAAACACCCATATCACAAAAAGGGACAGACACAGAGCATAAGGCAACCTTACTTAGTAGCAGTGTGAATGATGATGATGATGAATGAGGCGAACTCAGTCTCATGAGTGGGGGGGGGGGGGAGCTTGTGACTGATTGTTCATGTGGTGGAAATGACAAAATGTTCGGACTTGCAGATTCTGATTTTGACCTCGCACGTTGGACCATGGTATAAAGCAAATTCCATCACTTTGATGTTCTTGTCACAACCTCTAATGACGATGCTTCCTGCGACATTTTTCTGTGTCTTAACTGGTGCTTGTCTGTAACTAACCATAACACCAAATTGTCCCCAGATAAGCTCCACAAATGCGATGATCATCAAAAAGCGAAAAGCCCTTTAAGGGCTTTCATTTCTTTGTCTTCAATCTATCTAGTCGGCATCCACAGATGCTGTACGGAATGACCTAAAGATTTTTTCTTTATGCTTTTTTGTTTTACTATACTGGACGCTCTCTCACTCATTAGCCACTCTATTGCAGGTAGATTCTCTGCTACTCAATTATTTTCGCAGTTTTTTGGCCAAAAAAAAATTATTTTCGCAGTTGAATAACTATCAGGAGAAGCATTTATACTTTTTGGGTAATTAATATTATAGAAAGTTTTTCAACTTCTATCTACCTCGTTCTCTATATGTTTATCATCTTATTTTTTTTGGGCATAAAATTTTCTTTTGAAATTTGGAGGGGGGAAAAAAAGGATTTAGATAGCTGCCTAGCTAGTTCACAGCTGTAGTTTAAATTTTGATACGGGGCACTATTCTTATTGTAACCTAGGCTTATAATCTGGCGTTCAGTGATTCTCTGTTTTTTCGGCCAAACAGCGAGTCTCATGACTATTGTATTATTACTAGACAAAATTTCGATAAGAAAAATTCAGATATACTGTAATTAGTAAATTGCAAAGAGCCAAAAAAAAAAAAAAACACTTCAACACATAGATCTGCTGTGTGGCTTGGATTCAGGTGAAGCGTTAATGTGCTTTATGCTTGCAAGCTACGAGGAGACCTGATTCACCTGGCATCTTGTGGTCTTTTTCAGAAATACAATGAAGATGAACAATTCTACACCCGCATTCTGAACCTGATGCGTAATCATTACGTTCCTTTCATTTTTTTTTTGGAGTTACTTAGAATAGTTTATAAAGAGTTTTTAACTGTGATTTACGAAATACATGATAAATATATGATATAAATTGTGTCTTAACGTATAAATTCTGTCTTAACTTACGTGAAAATACTTCTTATCAAATACGGACACAAAAAAACTCTTGTTCTTTTTAAATAGACATTTTTTTTCATTTTATATAAGATATGAATAAACAGTATTAAATACTCTTTTCAATGCTTAATATAAAAATTATTTAATTAATTTAGGTGGAATAAAAAAATTAATTAATTATAACTAATATGACACAACTTTTTAAAATACTTTTATATAACAATATATTGCCAATCAGTTTATAAATGAGGTAACTCAATTTGTGGAAAAACATATAGGACAATAAATTAAAGTTTTATATTTAGAATTAAATTTAAATTCTTATGTTGGGGACTCAAGAGAGAGTACCATTTATGGCTTAAGAATACTCATATTGATTATAAATTTAATATTATATTAAAATATTTTTATTTCTCCTTGTTTCCAAGCGCAAGCAATAGCTTTATCGGTCTAATAGGCCATGTAGCCATGTTATCGAGAGCCATGTTACTACAGCAAAGAACAGCCACAATCATTAGCCTTGATCCACAGTCCACAGGCCACAGGCCACGGGCCACATAATGAGCACCACAAGTATGGGATCCAAGATAGAAGTGCAGGAACAATGACAACAGGGCAAATACATATTATATTCTTAATGTAAAATTATATTATAAAATGAGTTTTATATTTAAGATCGAAAGAGTATTAAGTATTACAAATCTACTAGGTAAGTAAAAATAAATTACATGAAATTTATGTTAATTCGTAAAAGACAACAGGAGATTGACCATTTCATAGATTACAGAGGAAAAAAAATATGTGAAATTTGACAAACAGTATATTAAAAAAAACCAACGCAGACTACCAAAACCACCACAAAAAATAAAAAATCGTTCAGGGTGTAAGGAACTGCTAATGCTAATGCTTCTAATCTAATATATCACTGCTGATAGAAACAGCACTCGAAATTTTCTCGATGGCTACAATATTCAAGGTTAACCATGCTCTGCTGGAACCTTCATATTTACTCAAGGAGAGAACTTTGCAATCAGCTTATCAACGTGGATAATGATATCATTTATCCGGGGCCTCACAGCGGCCTGAGGTTGAAGCATCCATGTCACAAACTGATGAAGAGCTTCTGGATATGGGGGCTTGGGTCCAGCTGGCCATTTGACCTGAGCATTTACAATGGCCAATTGCAGGCTTCCTCCAGATTCTCCAAGTGCGTATTCAAATGGAGATACGCCATACCTACAGAATAAGTCAGGCAACTATGAACAAACATACTAAACCAGCCAAAATATTGCAAGCAAAAAGGGGGGGAAATCCATTCCCACGATGAGGATAGTTATAATGGCATTGAGTCGCCTATAAAACTGGAGGTTGAACTCGTAAAAGAGAAAACAAAGCTGGATAAAAGAACATAACCGAAAATAAAAAGCCGTAGGTCTGCTTTCTGAAATATTAGTTTACACAAACAAACATGCCAGGATTAGGAGGGGCTGACATTGAATCTAATGGCCACTCCCTGTTCTTTCCTCATCATACAAACTATGCACACCCTAAACTCTTAACACATCTGTTAATCTCCAATATCTGAATGTTTATATGGACATCAAGGCTTCAGAATCAAAATGCAATGCATACACAAAAAGCTAAGCACATATGAAGCGATAAGACTAATGTTATTTTGTGGAATCAAGGCACAGACAATATAAATTAATGACACAAAAATTTAAAACATCATATTCAAAGAAGGATTAATCCTCACATTATCGCATACAATGTGCATCCCAGTGACCAAATATCAGTCCTTTCATCAATATCAGCATGGCTTGCGCAATCCCACAGCTCAGGAGCGCGGAAAGGAGCAGAGCAGTGTTCAGCTGCCCATTCCTATCAAGAAGTTAAAAATGTAACAATCAGCTGACAGAAAAATCCAATCCTGGTAACTGAAATGAAACTTTGGTCACATGAAACATCAACACCATATAATGAATAAAGTGATGAATGAAGCACCTGTAGCTGTAATGCCTCTTGTCGGGAGCGAATTTGCCTCTTGGCAGGTCGAGCACTGCCAAAATCCATCAATATGGCAAGAGGCGGCTGCCCTTTCCTATACGTTATCAGAACATTTCCAGGTTTGACATCATTATGTGCATATGGAGGATCTAGACCATGCATATGCTCCAGTCCTGCACAAAGCTGTTGAGTTGATTTCACCAGTTAAAAGGCTTAGTACATTTAAGCTATAGCTTTGTCAGCAGTATAAATCCTTCAAACGTAGATAAAAGAAAAGCAATTTATAACGTATGTTCTAAAAATGAACCAGTTATCAAAGATAAGAAACGGTTCATGGTTTACCGGCTCGACTTGTAAGTTTTCCTCATATATATTTCATTAAAAAAATAACAGGATACGTAATACGGGTATCATGTTTAAAAAAAAAAGGACGTATGTGTTATCAAATATGTAAGAGAAGCATAAATATTTTATAAATTAATTAAATATCTAACAATATGAAAATTAGCTGATTTTTGTTTCATAGTACTAGGATAACATTTAACGAATGCTGGCTTTCAACTAGTCTTTTTCTCTTGACGATTTTTAATTAGTTAGTTACATTCCAAGAATTTTCCTCTTTTTTCTTTTTTATTTGCATGTGTGTGTAACTAGTGCTTTTAAGTTTTCATCTTCACATTTTAGTTTTGAAAGGCTTCTCAACTAAATTGAGTCAATAGCTTATGTCTACATTTCTTCATCAGACCAAAAGTCCCGTCCTTTTATTATTCCAGGTTAATGGATAAACAGAGGGAGCGAGAGAGATAAAAAGAGGTGATGATGAGAAAGCAAGCAATGCATTTTTGGATCAGGACCATGTCATCTTGTCTTCTTTAAACAGTAACTCCACATTTTGTTTTCTCTTCTCTAAACCATCCATCTCTGCTCTAGCCCTCTTTTTCCTGTTCTGGCATTTTTCTAAAGTTTCAGCTATGGAATAGAACTCAGCAATGAAAAGAAGTGCTCAATGCTGGACTATAAATAAAAAAAGGGACATAGCACGCTTAGCTACTGGTACTTTAACCCTGACGTGTCAACCAGACCAAATAAGCTGCTCGTTTAGTGATTGAACGGACTGGCTTGGCTCTTAGAACCACGTAGGAAACTAAGACAGGCAATAGAAAACCAAATTTCTTCTATCTCATTGTTAATCTTTAGGTAACTAACCTATGTCACAGAAATTGCCAGATTGATATTATAAAAAAGAGCCGCCTTGATAGCCAGACTGTTGGCAAGTTATTATTTTTAGTTGCTAGATTGATATTTAAAAACACAACCCCACACACACATAAAAAGGAGTGAACTGGGGAACAAAACAGATGATCTTTTTACCTGCCGAAATATTTGAAGAACATCAGAGGTAGAATAGAACTCCTTCTTGGCTTTCATTGTTTTGGCATTGTCTAGCAACGTTCCATCCAAGTGAACCGGAAATAGCAAGTATGCTTCATGGTTCCACGATGTTTCTTGGGTAGGCTGTCAGCAAAAATCACATCTTAAAAACATAAGCGTAGTCAAAAGAACAGGGAAGGAATGAAATAAACCTAATGCAGCAAGGAATTAACACAATGTTACACATCCCAGCACTAAGAATATATCTTCGATTTTTATGAGCCCCACTGTAACAGCATAAGTATTTTTCAAATTAGAAAACCTAGAGAATATCCATGCCACACCTCATAGCTGCATAATTCCCAATCAAGCGTTAAAAAACTAGGTCCTCAGCAATATAAGATAGAGGTGCTGCTATACAAGGCTCTAAAATTAGTATTGATATTTTCATAAGCCATGAGACCAGCACCATGGACCTTCTTATAGAATTTATCAAACTGTTGTATAGGAGCCTAGCACCACTGTTGGCTGCAATTAATTACATTACCCTATAAAATTTGTTTAGATGAAAATTACCTTAACAGAGATGATTGCATGATCAAGAAGTGGGAGCAGATTTCGATGACTAAACAGCGATGAGACACGGATCTCCTCCCTCACCAACTCCAGCTGTTCACCATTCTGAATGAGGATCTTTTTCATAGCATAAGTTCCATCCTCTGCAGAAAGGAAGACCATAGCGAAGTTCATAATTCGTAATTATATAGAAAGTCATAACTGCAGACAAACAACCACGAAAATTTAAACTTACAAATCACCACCATCACAGCGAGAAACTTACAAATTCGTAATTATTTATCAAAATTTTTTATTCATAATTCATGACGGGATAGTTGTCGTCCCCATTCTATCAAAAACACATTACTTCGCCGCATAATCACTAGACGCTAACTAGCACACAACAAGAAAGAAGCAAGCACACAGATCTCATTCAATAGTAAACACGTCTATCGTGCCCGAAGACCAGATGGACTTAAAGTTCATAAAATTTTTTATCCAAGCTCAAAAATCAGAAATCGCATACAACAATCTAAATCTAAATCTCTAATGAATTCAGTTTAGATAGGAAGGAGGGGTACTCTAATGAATTTAGTATTAAGAAGCTCCGATCAATATTGATCAGGTTGGAATACGCGACAAAATCTAAATCTCTATATACCTTTATTTCTATTATATTTCTCCCTGACTCGGGAATATAGGAAATTACTATCAGATTCCAATAGGAATAACGCAGATCACAAAGTGATGCACATTTTATACAGTAAGGCGCAAAGAATGCTTCGGCCTAAGAAGGAGAACAAACGAACCAGAGACATGAGAGGAGTCTTTGAGCTTCTTAGAGAGACCACTGCCAGCAGAGGCGGGAGAGGAGTCAGCGACCACCTCCTTAACCAAATAGACGAAGGCGAACCCACCTTCCCCAAGCTGCCTGACGATTCGGAATCGGTTGTCATTGATCCAGACATCCCCTCCTCCATTAACGGCGTCGTAGAGAGCATTCAACCCGGAAAACGAGCACCCATCTCTTTCTTCTACTTCCACTGCTTCTACAAGTGCATGCAGATCCCCAAATCCCTCCTTTTGTCTCACCCTTTCAGCCAAACTTCCGGTGCAAAGAAATGAAAACAGGAGTCCAAGAAGGAATTTGGAATCCGGGAACCTGATTTCACCACAATTGAGTAACCGGAATGATTTTTATTACCCTCCCTTGACTCTGTTGTATAAGTATTCAATCCCCGGATCTCTCCAATTTCAACCAGAGTACCAAACCAAGCACATTTTTTTTATTTTGGCACTGAGGCACTCGCTCGTTGATTTGCAGACTCCCGTGTAAGTCAAATCAAATCAAGGGTTTGATTCGCACGCTCCCGTATAAGTCAAATCAATCAAGGGCACATGATGATAAATTTTCCCCCATTCTAACGTTATTATTTTAAGAGTTGAAAAACAAAAAAATTAGGTCCATGCACACGATTTTTTCTTGGTACGTTGCCTTCTTCGCGAGACCAAAGGGAGGAAAAAAATAGTACTCGTATTTGGTTATAATACTGCAATAGTAACTTGTTTTAATATGCATTTTTTAAAAAATCTGAATATTATGCTTTTGATTTTTGTCGGTGGAAAAGAGAATGCATACTGATTTCGGGCTCCTTTATTACCGTTTCTTTTAATGATTTTTCTTTCAAGTAAAAAAAATTGATTTTTTTTAATAAGAAAAGAATTATTTTAAAAGTCTGATGCAGTAAATAGATAATGCAGCAATTTTTAACAAGCGCGAGAATGATGGGCGGCAGAACTAGAGTCTCATTCTTAAGTCCGAAATTCTGTTTAGGGCCTTCCACGTGTCTTGTAAGCCAGATTTATAACAGAATCGCATGCCCCGATCTTTCAAGTCCTAACAGGTTGAAGGGCGTCAAGCCGTCAACTGAAAGATCCAACAAGTTCTTTACTCTTACTCGAAAGGTTCGCTTCTCGTGTTTTCTAGTTGCCTCAGTCCATTCTCTGCTGTTAACAAATGATCGCTGGATAATCACTCTCATCAAAATTTTAATTTTATTATTTTGTTGTGGGTGGCCGTACCTCCAGTTTTCATTGCTTAGCTGTTGATTTTTGTCCAGACTTCGCAGTACAATTTGATATTCGCCGAGAGCGTATATTAATTTGTAAGTTTATCACGGTGTTCCTCTCTGTTACAGTTCCTCAGGCTTTATCCTGTACATTATTTTTTTGTTCCTGGTTTATATCGCGTGGGATGGAGTTGCTCTATATATTTCTACTTCCTTGTTTTCGATTTAAATTACAATTCCTCTTAAACTTCTTTTCTTTCTGTTTTGCTGTGTGAAATTTTTTGGATTTCTGCATAATTTCTTTTTGTGGACATATTCTTTGATGTAGTGGAACAGTAACTGTTTTCGCTAATGTAGGATGGCAGAAGCTAGTCTTTAATGTTTCATATGAGTTGAAGTTGCTGATATCCATTAGAATGATATTATCAGTCAATGGCTGCATATCCAGTAAATTTTACATGCAAAAGTCAAATGTGTTCACTGTTGTTTCTATAGGATATGTTTCTTTTCTTTCCTTTTTCCTTTCTTTTTCATTTTTATGAATAAGTGGTAATATATGTTTCAAAGGTGAGTTATATACTACGTCATGATTCTATGTGCAGTTTATGCAGTTTGACGTCATTCAATTTGTTGTAATGTTGTTTGCATATCTTAATTTGACACTTTCATTCCCAGGTCCTTTTTGGTTGCCTATAACGTGGACATCCCTACTTTCCTTAATGGCACCACAAGATACTGCTTCTGGTGTTGAAATACCCCAGAGAACTTCTGGTCTACTGCGGGATCAGGTTCAGCTAATAAAAAGAAAGGATTCTGATCGCTATGAAATTGTCTCCATCCCAGATTCTCTCTCATTTGAGAAAGGCTTCTTCATAGTTATTCGTGCATGCCAATTGCTGGCTCAAAAGAATGATGGGATAATATTAGTAGGAGTCGCTGGACCCTCTGGAGCTGGGAAGACTGTTTTCACTGAGAAGGTCCTCAGCTTCATGCCAAGCGTTGCTGTCATAACAATGGACGACTATAATGATTCTAGTCGAATCATAGATGGCAACTTTGATGGTAAGTTTTATTCTCATCAATTGCATTAAGTCCATGACATGATTCAATTGGTTTCATTGATCTGGGAAGACGTTCTTGTTTCTCGTTTATTGGCATGCTCAGAATTTATTTTGCCCATTCATTATCAAGAACTTCTCCCAGTCGTTCATCTTTCTTGTGAACTTCCTAGAAATAGGACAGATTCAATGCAATCCAGACTTCTAATGTCGTGATTCTTGAAAACAGACCCTCGGCTGACAGATTATGATACATTGCTCGAAAATATACGGGGTCTCAAAGCTGGCAAGCCAGTTCAGGTTCCAATATATGATTTCAAGTCTAGCTCTCGCATAGGCTACAGGTTGTGTGCCTTTCCACATATATATTTTTTTTTTGGGGGGATATGAAAAAGCTTGTTTTGTGGCTGTAGCAAAAACTATGCCTCATAGTGAAGAATCTGAAAATAGTGCGTGCGCAGAGAATGTAATAGCAATTCATGCTAACTGTTGATTGAAGTTATTACTATATCTGCTGGCCTTACATGGTGAAAACACTACAGTGTCTGGTTATCTGAAGATAGTAGTTCTAATAGTTCACAGGAACATGGCACTACAACATTTACACACTATCTCTCTGGTCAAATTCTTAAAGACACGCATATGAAATGCATGTGCACTTCCATGCACATGACTCTCCAACAGCCTCAAACACTGATATAGACATGCATAGAAAACACATATATGGTCTACATATGGATGTTGATTATGTTGGGAGGGAGTATGGTGCAGGCTATTTAAGTTTTGATGCACATAAAGTACATATAGATAGTATCCTATTATTTCAGCTTCAATTCAGTAACATATTTACTATTCATTTCTCAACTTCCTTTTGTACCATTTTTCTTGCAGGACGGTTGAAGTCCCTAGCTCCCGTATCGTCATAATAGAAGGCATCTATGCCTTGAGTGAAAAGTTACGTCCTTTGCTGGATCTTCGGGTGTCTGTCACTGGAGGAGTACACTTCGACCTTGTCAAGCGGGTCTTGCGGGATATTCAACGTGCTGGTCAAGAGCCTGAAGAAATAATTCAACAAATTTCTGAAACGGTTTTTCCCTGATCCCACGCTAGATTTTCCCTTTTCTTGAAATAATTGACTATAAAAGGGATCAGCTTTAATTGTAACCTGTTACGTTGTTTCTTGTGCAGGTATACCCGATGTATAAAGCCTTTATTGAGCCAGATCTCCAAACAGCACATATTAAAATCATAAACAAGTTTAATCCATTCTCTGGATTCCAGAATCCCACCTACATATTGAAGGTGATCCTCTTGTCTTTTGTCATGATTTACATTCAACAAGTGCTTTCTTCGTGATTTATTATTAAGTAATTTTCATTGATTCTGATGTTGTAGTCAGCAAAGGCTGTGACAGAGGATCAAATCAAAGCCGTTATTGCTGCAGAGCATACTGAAACCAGGGAGGAAACGTATGACATATATCTTCTACCACCTGGGGAAGATCCTGAAGCATGTCAATCATACTTGAGGATGAGAAACCGGGATGGAAAGTACAATCTTATGTTTGAGGTTAGGTGATTAAACAACTCTTTTTGGATAGGTATTGATTTTTTCTTTTTGGAGAAAATGTATAATGAGCAATAATTTTATGGGATTGTTTCAGTAGGATTTTGTTTCATGATAAACAATTTCTATCTTTGATCAAGGAGCGAAGTATCTTGTACAAGAATTGAAATTATTTTCTGTATCAAAATTCAGAAGCGCATTCTATATGCTCCTGAGCTTTTCCCAAACTCTGCTAAAATATGGTTTTTTCCTTGTTTTCAGGAATGGGTTACAGACAGTCCATTCATAATATCTCCTAGAATTACTTTTGAGGTTAGTGTACGCCTTCTGGGAGGGCTGATGGCCTTGGGGTACACAATTGCGGCTATCCTGAAAAGAAACAGCCATATCTTTCATGATGACAAAGTCTCCATAAAAACTGATTGGTTGGAACAACTAAATCGCCTATATGTTCAGGTGTAGTAGCATATCATTCAGAATTTTCTTGCTTTGCTTACGTGGGTTGATAATGCGAGAGTCTGCCTTTTTTTTTTTTTTAAATGAACTGAACATTTTATTTATAAAATTGTAGGATGACTGTAATTAATCATGAAATCTGTCTGAAGTCATCGAAGGTATCATTCAAAGAATTCGGAACCTCTATATTCACAATAGTCAATGCATATGGGGAGATAGAGAAATAGAGATGATTGTTGTAAAAATGAAATATAAACCTCATACATAATCACATTCTTTGGTGTCACTTTCTCTATAAATGTACGATTGCATTAATGTCGAGGATCCAATTTGCATTCAAAGATGCCTTTTCTTGATTTGCTATGCTAATCATATAACCGGTCTGCTGATAGGGTACAGTAAATTTTCCAATACTTGCTGAGGACCCGATCAATGTCCTGACATACAATTCTGCTTTTACGATTGTCTTATTGATGTCTATCCCTCAGTGATTTCTCCTGCATGCTGGAAAAAATTTACAACAAATGTTGTGCTTGTTGATTTTTGTCTTCTGTCTCTTGGCAATCAAGGCCCATGCCATGGTTGTAGGCATTATTTATCTTAGGTCCAGGCACTTGAAACTTTGGGCTTTGCTTGGACCAGATTCCCAGATTCATTTCTATTTAATTTTTTTCACTATTTTATGCTCAAATATTTGCTTCATTTTGTGATAAAGGTGCAAGGGAGAGATAGAAACTATGTTAAATCTGTGGCTGAGAAGCTGGAGTTGGATGGTTCTTATGTTCCTCGCACCTACATTGAACAAATTCAGCTGGAGAAGCTTATAAATGATGTGATGGTATGACCTCTTCGATAAATTTACTTGTGCTTCACGTATTTGTATACTAATTTGGTCAAAGTGCAGGCATTGCCAGATGATCTGAAGACCAAACTCAGTCTAGACGATGATGTGGTTTTGAGCCCCAAAGAAGCCCTTTCCAGAGCTTCTGCAGATAGGAGAATGAAGTACCTAAATCGGTACGTTTTAATTATCTTAGAAACCGGTGATATGCCTCCCGCTTTCTTTCATGATAAGAAGATCAAGTTCTGACTTCAATTGAAATTGAAAATAGAGAGTAAAACCTTATGATGTTTTCCCATGTGTGTTTCTTGCAGCAATTTCTCCCACTCATTTTCAAGTCAAAGAGACAAGAGTCTATCTAAGTTGACTAGATTAGCTATAAATAACCGAAGATTTGATGGACGTGCTCTAGAATCACCTGCAGCAATCGCAAACCAAGTAAGATATATCGCTTTCAGAAGTCATACCCTGGCAATCATTTTGGCTTCTGCATTCATCAAAGCGCAAAGAGACATAACCTACTGTATCTCTTTGTGGATTTCATGGGGGAAAAGTAGCTGAATTAGTTGCTAGAAAGGGTGAAAGGGATAACATCGAAAACGTAATATGCAATTGTACTGCAAATTGGAAAAAACATAAATGAAAGGAATATTCAATTTTAGTGGAAGTCTATTCATGTATTTGTTTGGCATAGAGGGGTGGCAAGAATTGATAGCTGTCTGCACGGGTAGAAGTTCCTTCTGTTTTTTTTTTTTTTTCACCCAGCTAATTGATTCAATTAATCTCACTCATGATTTCTTTTCGGTCCAGGGAGTCATTACACAACTTTCTGATCAAATTTCTACGTTAAATGAGAGAATGGATGAGTTCACATCCCGTATTGAAGAGCTGAATTCTAAATTTGCAAACAGAAAAGTATCCGCCAGTCAGCAGAACTTGGCTTTACAGGCTGAAGCTTGCAATGGCTCGGGACCCACTTCCCTCTTCCTTACTGGGTTGGGTAATGGTTCGTTGCTGCCTAATTCTTCATCATCTTCCCAACTGGCGAGGGAGTCCCCACTGATGGAAGAGGTAAGTCCCTTCCTTTTTTTTTTCTGGGACAGTTTTAGTTGACTTTTCTCTTCGCCTTCATCCCAAGTAATTGGATATATTTACTGTTCAAAACCCGATTATGTTTAGATGTTTGCATTATGGGTTGGATAATGCTAGTGAAAATGCACACTCAACAGTCACACTCCAACTCGTTTTCATCAGGTTGTACTTATTGCACGAGGACAACGTCAAATCATGCATCAACTAGATAGTCTGAGCAATCTTTTGCATGAATATTGCGGAGAAAGAGCACGTCTAGGAAGGGTAAACCAAGCAAGTAGGATGCCTGATGTTGACTTCGCCATCCCGCTTTTTCTGACCGTGGCAATTGGAGCTGCTGGCGTCTTTTTGTTCAAGGGCTTTACATCCCATAAATAACATGTCCTTCTGCGAAACAATTTGTGAACACCATCGCCCTTTCCTGGAGTTTTGCTGGACAATTGACCGGACATTAGTGACAAGAGGCAAACATTAATTCCAACCTTATATGAAGTAATATCGGATGGCCAATGGCCAGTAGAATTTGAATGATGTGTGCTTTTCCAATACAAGCATATGTACATCTGCTTTCCCGTCCCACCATACCAATATCCTTGGTGGGAATGCTGAGCTGACTATAACTTGTAGCCTTTTGTTGTTATTATATATCATGCAGATTGGAAAGGCCATCGGATGTAATGGAAAGCAGCTTGATTTCTCTGGCTTGCTTTTCACTGTAAATTATTACGGCTTACGTTTCGTTGTAAATTTTGTTGTTAGACTGAAGCAGGGAAAGTATAGGTCTTTAACGCAACAATTATCTGGCAATTTCACTGTTTTCTCACCTCTTAACTATCTTGCCGTTTTAGAAAGTGTTTAGATAAAAATAAAATCATAATTTTAAAAATAATTTTTACAGTATACGAAATAAATATATAAAAAAATTTATTTCGATTTGTAAAAAAATATTTTTAAAAAATATTTTTATAGCTTTCCAAACACCCCTTAAACGAACAACTGAATAGTTTCATGGGCAGGGCTCGTTCCCATCGGTGAGTAGAGTAGTGGACGTCGCTGCAGCGTGAGGGGTAGAGTGAAATGGAGTATATGGAAACTAAGGGTAGATACTTGAATTTGTTTCCATTGAGAACGGATAACGACAGCATGGTTATCCGTAGATTACAGGGGGGCGTAGGTACGGAGCGACAAAAAACTAAGGAACCAATACGGGCCTTTACACGAATAAAACACATACCATTAAAAGCAGAGTCAAGGAGAGGTCACAAGTGCTCCCGTCTCTTCCACTCTCAGTTAACAGGAACAATATGCAAGTGACCCATAATAGCAATCGTTGGACTCCATTGATTCATACAGTTGCCCTATGATTTGGCCAGTGTGATTTCAGAGATTTTCCCGCCTGATTTGCCACCCGACAAGTTGATCCCGAGACCGCCCAACAATATACTCGATAAGGAAAGAAATTGCCAAACAAAAATAAACAAACAGAAAAAGGGGGGAAAATAGATCATATGAGAGATAATATCAGCAATTTGTCCATGGTAAAATGCTTTAACTGGCCAAAGCAAAGAGTACAAAATGAATTCGTGCTTCAAAAAAGAGAAGCAGTAACTTCATTAACTTCCGATACAACTTGATCATAATCTGACTTCAGTTTTTCTTGTTCCCCTTTATCTAATTCCCCCTTAGCAGGCTTGGTCATCACTAAAACGCAACAAGTTGGCCTCTTAGTCACTCCTGCACTTGCAAGGTCCTGGAAAATCACACAAGAGAATGCCTACGTTAACATAATCCCATAATTTTTCTTAAAATATTTCAACATCACATAATGGCATAGCACGTCTTATTTTATATAATTAAAAAAGAGAGAGGGACAAGGTAAAATTGATTTCTTACTTCTTTCGATGGGACATATATGTATGGGATTTCAGCTTCTTCACATAAGATAGGAAGATGAGTGATCACATCAATCGGCGAAATATTGCCAGCTATAACACATAATCTGCATTAACCAAAACAGAAAATTAGGGATAGATTAATTTTCCTTTTCATGCAATTGACCAGAAAGCAACTAGATGAAAACCAAAAAGACAAAGGTTAAACGAGCATCTTTCAAGGAACTACTAGGGCTTAGGAGCATTCTTGATGAAGTTGTTAATTGCAGATGTTTCAGAAACCAACAGGTCCCATGTCCCTTTTCTACTTAATAAATCAGATTATATTAATAAATTGGATAATATTCTGCTAAGCTGGGCGATTCTTTTGCCGCAATGCAGAGAGCAAAAAACTTAATGCTTAAGAATCAATCAGAGCAATACCATTTCGAGACATTTTAGTCAGTCTTCCCTGACAACAAAATGTCAACTAATTCTCTTTAGACAGAGGATCGCATTTTCACAGAATACTAACCCTTTATGACCACGCCTTATACTTTTAACCACTTCCTTTACTCCTCTCTTTAAGCACTTGTGTTCAGAAGCTGAAAGAATAAGAAAACGAATTGTTGCAGGTGAGCACTTGTTCTACATTAAAATAAGCACTACATATGTAAAACCTAATGGCTGGATACAGTAATTTTAGAAGAAAAAAGAAGATATGATGCATGATTAAAACACATTCCACGATCACAGGAAGGAAATTGCGTCATATCATATCCAAGCTACCAAAAACGTATCCAGCGATTGCTAACAGAATGAAAATGTGATACCAAGCATAGAAAAACAACCAGCTAAGACAAGAAAGAAAGAAAAAGATGCACATGGGGCATAATACCTCGACGAACAAGTTTAAGAGTTCGCTTGCAGAGCTTCTTCCCAGCCAGAGGTTTGGCAATCGGAGACAGGCCTAGCATCTTCTTCTTCTCCTTCTGCGCCGACTTCTCGGCTTCACCATCGCTCCCCATCTCTTCCCGGAAGTGAAGGAATGACAGTCGGGGAAGAAGAATACAGCAGCTAGGGTTTAATGTAGGGTTTCTCTTTTGTCGCTCCATAAAATCCCATTATGTATTTTTATATCTGGGCCTAACTTCCCTGCTTTTTCATGTGAGAAGACGGTGATTGGGCTCAATAAAACCCAGCAACTATGGGCCTGACCCTTGTTCTTGGGCTTCAATGGACTGCCGGCGTCCAGTATAACATAGACCTGTCAAGGAAAATAAATTATGACCCATTTAAGAGGAAAGATTACATGTAATCCTGATACAAAAGTTTGATTCAATTGTTTGTTTGGACTTTATAATATAAAGAAGATTACATCTTGATATCCTGATTCTCTTAAAAGTTTGCATCCCAATTATATAGATAGACCTTATAAATAGGAATTATACAAGAAGAAAAATACATTATTACCCTTAAAAACAAGATAATCTACTTGGACCCCCTCCTCCATCTTGCACTGCCATCATTTTGATTACCACATGCTTTGCCTTGACAGTGCCATCGCGGCCATGAAACCCCGTCCCCAACCTCACCCTCTTACTTTCCATCCACTCATCATCTTTTTTTTTTTTTAAGCCTAACATCTAGCCTTCAACCCTAAAATCAAAACCTCTCAGAAGTCTTTCAATTTGGAGATCTATTTACGTATTTATTATTAGATGCGTTCCTGACCAATCACTTCCTCATCTCACTCCTCCTTGTTTCTTCAACTCATAAGAATTTTTTTCATTGTTATGTTTTTGCGATGATTTCTGATTTTGTGGGAAGAAAAATATTTTCTTGGCTAATTTGCGGTGCAGGAGGGAGGCATTTCTCTTCTGTTTTTTTTTTTCCTTGTCTGATAAGGATATTGTTGTCTTTTTAATTTATTTGTAATTAAGTAAATATGAAAAATATATTTTATTATCTTATTTCTAATATTGTATCAAACAAACTTATTATAATTATTATTACATTTCCACCCGTTTCCTTGCATCACAATTGCAGGTGCTCCAATTACATTTTCTTCATTCGTAGCGTTTGATTGGATCAAAATTAGATGAACACTAATAATCTTATAACATCAATGAGAACTCTCATCGTCCACTGCCACTGAGGAAGCAGTACTGCTCTCCTTCATAGTTGTCTAGGCAAAAGTCCCATTTTAAAAATAAGAATGACTGACAAAAATCATTATCTAAAATAAAAATCTTAGAGTTAAAAAACTGAAAATATGCCTTAAAAATTCAAAACTGAAACATAGTATTAGGAGATTTTTTTTGGCCAAAAAAGTTAGAAGATTGAAGGTATATTTTTATCCAAGTTAAAAAGAAATTTATATTTTTATCATAAAAATATCTACGGGACAGGTTTAATTTAAAAATTACAATTAAAATGTTAATTAAGATTTCTATACTATACAAATATTATTAGCCTGAGAATCAGGATTAAGAATATGTCACGTGAGCATATTAAAAGTAGCAGAGAAAAATTATTCCACGCTAATCTTGAACTTTAGTAAATACTACTCCTCCGGTCCTTATTATAAGACCCCATTTGACTTTTTATTTGGTCCTAATTATAAGACCCCAATCCATTTTGTCTCTTATATTTATGTATTTTTTTCCAAGATAATCCTTCTAATAATGATAGTTTTAGCCAATATACTTAATTAGCAAGGATATTTTAGGAATGACAACACTTATTTATTATAAATAACCAATTTAACTTACTTCCTTAATCTCCTCAAATAAGTCAATTGAGTCTTATAATTAGGACCGGAGGAGTATTTTTTATTTTTAATATAAGAGTTAGTTTAACTTTTAATTTGGTTATCAATATAAGATTCTGATTTATTTTGTTTCTTATATTTATCTATTTTTTCAAAATAACTTTGTAATAATTACATATGCTAAATGTTTAATCAAATGACACTTGATTCACAAGAGTTTTAAGTAAGATAATATCTATTTATTACAAATAACTAACCTAACTAATTTTTTTATCTACTTAAATTAGTTAAATACTTTTCGGATCCTAAATATAAGACTCTTATACTAGTATAAGAGTCTTATATTTAGGACCGGGAAGTAATTCTTATATTAAAATATGGAGGTGGTAATATGAATCCCAAACTCTGTTTTTTGGCCTGAAATAAGAATCCTAAACTTTAATAAGAGAATAAATTCCGTTGGCAAAAAAAGAGAGGGAGAGAATAAATACCGTTGGGAAAAAAAAAAAAAGGAGAATAAATTCGATGGTAAAAGAAGATAACAAGGGAGTAAATTCTCCCGCGGCGCGAGCTGTTTTTTGTGGGCGCCACTGAGCGAAGCACCATCTTGGGCATTCCAAAACCTAACGCAGAAGCCGTCTCCGTTGAAACTTGAAACAGAGGAGGTCGCCTGGTTGCAATCGGGACTTCGAGAGACAACCATGCCTACCATCGGTGTCGGGCGGGATCGTCTGTTCGCAGCTCTAGGAAGGACTTACAGTGAGCTTCATTTCCCTTTTCAATCTATCCAGCATTTCAAATGCGCGACAGTTACTGACACTTGCTGTCGTTTTTAATTTCCAGCACAAGAAGAATTCGAAGACCTGTGCTTCAGTTTTGGAATCGAGCTTGACGACGTTGTAAGCTCTTTGACCAAAACTTAAACGTTTTGATAGAAATGTGATTCATCTTACTGATACAATGTGATTCTGACAGACTACTGAGAAAGCAATTGTGAGAAAAGAAAAGCATTTGGAGAAGAAGTTGATGAAGGTGAAGAAGTTATCTACAAAATCGAAGTT